GGCTCTATCAGCTACTAAAGAAGGCTTATCCCAGCATTCTCAAGACTGACGATCCCATTGATAGTAATGCCTGAGCCTAAAACAGTAACGGGTTTCATAGGCTCTATCAGCTACTAAAGAAGGCTTATCCCAGCATTCTCAAGACTGGTGACCCCATTGATGAAAATGCCTGAGCCTAAAACAGTAACGGGTTTCATAGACTCTATCAGCTACTACAGAAGGCTTATCCCAGCATTCTCAAGAGTGGCGATCCCATTGATAGAAATGCCTGAGCCTAAAGCAATAAGGGGTTTCGTAGGCTCTATCAGCTACTACAGAAGGCTTATCCCAGCATTCTCAAGACTGGCGATCCTATTGATAGAAATGCCTGAGCCTAAAACAGTAACAGGTTTCATAGGCTCTATCAGCTACTATAGAAGGCTTATCCCTGCATTCTCAAGACTGGCGATCACATTGAGAGTAATCCCTGAGCCTCAAACAGTAATGGGCTTTATAGGCTCTATCAGTTACTAAAGAAGGCTTATCCCAGCATTCTCAAGACTGGTGACCCCATTGAGAATAATGCCTGAGCCTCAAACAGTAAGGGGCTTTATAGGCTCTATCAGCTACTAAAGAAGGCTTATCCCAGCATTCTCAAGAACGGTGACCCCATTGAGAGTAATGCCTGAGCCTAAAGCAGTAAGGGGTTTCATAAGCTCTGTCAGCTACTACAGAAGGCTTATCCCAGCATTCTCAAGACTAGCGACCCCATTGAGAGTAATGCCTGAGCCTAAAGCAATAAGGGGTTTCATAGGCTCTATCAGCTACTACAGAAGGCTTATCCCAGCATTCTCAAGACTAGCGACCCCATTGATAGAAATGCCTGAGCCTAAAACAGTAACGGGTTTCATAGGCCCTATCAGCTACTAAAGAAGGCTTATGCCAGCATTCTCAAGACTGGCGACCCCATTGATAGAAATGCCTGAGCCTAAAACAGTAAGGGGTTTCATAGGCTCTATCAGCTACTACAGAAGGCTTATTCCAGCATTCTCAAGATTGGTGACCCCATTGAGAGTAATGCCTGAGCCTAAAACAGTAAGCGATTTCATAGGCTCTATCAGCTACTACAGAAGGCTTATCCCAGCATTCTCAAGACTGGTGACCCCATTGAGAGTCATGCCTGAGCCTAAAACAGTAAGGGGCTTCATAGGCTCTATCACCTACTACAGAAAGCTTATCCCAGCATTCTCAAGACTGGTGACCCCATTGAGAGTAATGCCTGAGCCTAAAACAGTAAGTGGCTTCATAGGCTCTATCAGCTACTACAGCTGATGACAGAAGCAAGGAAATGTGAAGCTGATGCTTCAGGGACGTGTACTTCATTCAGTCTCATTTATATGGGGACATAGTAAATGGTGTCTATAAATATCTCTGGAAAAGGAATTCTGTTGTTATTGTTAAGTTCGTATTTGAACTTAAAGGATAGAGTCTTTCTGTAGTTCATGTATTTCATCTATGTTTTTAACTATGATGAGAATATTATCTCCATATCTTAGGTAGATTTATAGTGGTATGAAATATCTTATTTTCAAGGTTAGCCATGTAGAAGTTACTAAATGTTGGTCCTAGAATTGAACCCATGGAAACACCATCATGTTGTATGTAGATATCACTTTGATTATCATAGGAGGGAGCATGAGTGATAAAAGTCATTTATTTATTTTTATAAATATTTCAATCCTGATTGAAGGCAATCGGATGTCTACCCACACTGATCAGCTATGATACAGGCCTGTAGGTGGATGATATCATATATATATATATATATATATCCCTTTCCCTCCATTCTTCTTACTTGCTTCCCTGATAGCTATAGTCTCCAACTATTCAAATCAATGGCAATTGACATCTCCAGATACACTGATCTTTTCCTTGTCCCTCTCTTCATCCTTTCCTCTATCACGCCACTTTATTCTTGCACCCACTTTCTGTGACCCATTGCGTACTAGTGGAACTCCCACCTTGCATAGATTGAAAAGTTTTAAAAATAAAATTAAAATATATATATATATATATATATATATATATATATATACTAGATGCAATCGTCAGGCCACCTGACGATTGTGTCTAGCATGAAACAGACTGTCACCTCTAAGTGTTGACTTCTATGTTCACTTTTATATTTACACACGCTCTATCTCTGATATTGAGCACTTTATCCCATAAATATCGCACATCTTAAGATTATATTTCTTTTTTATATATATATATATATATATATATATATATATATATATATATATATATATATAAAGTAAATAAATACAAAATAATATATAATATACACAATCACTTTAAACATTTTGTGGAAATAAAAGTGTGTAGATGTGCTTGCATTTTGTTTGGCTTATATATGTATATATATATATATTATAATGAAAAAAAAGAACAGTAAGATATATAATCCAGCGTTCTTATTGATATTTTTATTTTTACAAAATAGTGCTCAATGTAAATTTACAGAGCATAAATATTATTGAAAAATTTGGTTTCATCGCTACACAGGAATTACCATGTTTATAAAAACAGAAAACAAAACCTTCAAATTCATATATATAAAAAATAATTTTTCAGTCTTCTGTTTCATACATTCATTTTTTAATTTTTTTTATCTTTTTTTTCTATCCACTTAAAATTGCAAATCCACAAATTGTTTAAAGAAATGTCAGATTATAAATAAATAAAATAAAGATAAAAATTGTGCATAAATAAATCAAATATTTGTTGAATTAATTTTGTTATAAAATCTTTAATTGTGAAAGATGTGAAGAACCTTTTAATGGTTGTGTACATGACAGTCTTCATTGGTGGCTATACAATGGAAGAGGTTGTAGAGACAAAATACAACCCTAACTCTGGATCAGTTTGGTTTACTTGTACATTTATTCTTCTTCCTCATCATCCCCCTCCTCATCATCATCATCATCATCAACATTTATCAAGATGCAGAAAATTACCATGAGCCTCACCAACCCACACTAAAATTATCTTTATCTAATAACTCAGGGAGAATATCCATCTTCAAATTTCAGAGGGAAAGGAGGAGGGGGCCCCCACAGTGAAACTTTCAACAAGAGGGAAATAAATGACTTCAGTAAAAAGCCAGTGAGCTAAATGATAGAATCCTGCCAGGTTTTTTGAGAAATGAAGGAAAAGATTTCAGACAGTTCTGTTAAGGACGAATGTATATATAGATTTAATAAAAAAGAAGAAAAGTGACAGAAGAAGCATCCACTTACCTGGTGCGGTTTCTGTCTTTCTTTTAGTTCCTTTTGAGATTTGACTGTCCGTTACTAAGTTGGCATAAAGAACAACCAGTTTGCCACCTTTGAACGATTTTCCGTTCATCTGCTTCATTACTTCAGCACAGACATCAGCATCTTCAAATTTGACAAAGGCAAACCTATTAAGGAAGAAAAGCAAGAAAATTATTATGGTCTGGATGGGATGCATTGGTTCAAAAGAGAGGAGGGTGTGCCAAGTGCACAAGATTTAGTAAATGTGGGTGGGCATGTGTGAATTGGGGTGGTGGCCATTAAAATTCCATTTGCTTTATTTCCTTATTAACTGGTATCTGCCAATTTAGAGGATTAAGTGGGCCCCCTTGATGGATTAAGAAAATTCTAGCATGACCATTAGTCATCTGGAAAATCCCTGATCCACTATTGTACTAATCCGAATGGCACCAGATTGGTCAGGAAGAAAAGGGGGTACATTGTGTGAATGGAATGGGGATGGAGGAGATGAGAAATGGTTAAGAATTTCTCAAAGAAACAGGAAATTAAATGGCATAGCAGCAGTAAAAAGAAAAAATTCAGAATAAAAATAAAACCAGGGTTGAAATACTAGTTGCAAATACTTGCCCGAATGGCATTTTCGTGTTCCGTTTGATTGGCATAAACAAAGACTCTGCTTTGGGGAACAACTGTTTTAGTTCAATTTCTGTTGTTGTGTATGGAAATCCAGTGATGTACAATTTCTTGGGATCCAACTCCTTGAGGATTTTTGGTTCTTTTGGCCGGTGAAGACTCTTTTTGCCTGTATAGTCAACTGTCAGTGGTTTACCTTTCAATACTGTCTCACTCAGCGATTTAAAATTCTTTTCAGCAGCAGCCTCGTTTTCAAATTCCAAAAATGCGTAACTGTAAAGAAATAAGTAAGGCTTATAAAATCACTTGTGACTTCAAAATCTGGTTTAGCATAACCGAGAGAAACAAATCAAAAAACGGCAGTGTGCCAAAAGGTCGTTCAAAGTATATATGTTAATCCTACCACTAAGTGACTCCGATGAATGAATAACAGTGTGTTTGAATTTTGTAATTGTGTTGTCATATCCTGCAATGGCAACATAAAATGAGCATGACTGAAATTGCGTAGTGCAGTAGAAGAGCCTTGAAAAACAATGCAGTGAATAAAGCAGTTTGTTAAAGGTTAACATGTAAAATAAGTGTTGTCAGGAAAATAGGTTACTGTATAAATCAAATATGGGCTTTCAGATATATTTCTAAGAAAGGAAAAAAATAAAATCACATTTAGTTATTTTTTTTTATTTTTTTTTTTTGCAAATTAAAATTGAACACCAACAGAACAATTAATTACTAGTTCACTAACTTGTTTTTCTGTAGTGTTGTCATATCCTGCTATGGCAACAGAAAATGACCAGGACTGAAGTAGTACAGTAGAGGAGCCTTGAAAAAGAATGCAATGAACAATGCAGAGGGTTAAAGGTTAAACTTGAGATCAAAATGGTCAGGTTTTAATATTAAAGCAGAGTAAGTCAGTATGTAATCATTTAGCTGTCTGGTACAAGGTCAGTGGTGTGAACAAGATGCAGAAGAGGTAGGAGTATCTTAGATATATGCTTATTGAAAATAAGCATATATCTAAGAACAGCAATTAAGGGCTATAATGTCAGGATGGTGTCTAGAAATATCAGAGGCATCACACCCACCCATCAATCAGAACAAAAACAGGTCCTCTGCCAGCAATTCTATGTTAAGTACAAGAGAGAAAGAGAGAGAGAAAAAAACAAACCATGCAGTTTTCTTGGGATCCCTTCGAATCCGTTTGCGAATGCGAACACTTTGAATATCTTTTGACAATTTCATGAGAGCGTCTTCCTGGATTTCAATTGGTAAGTCTTTAAAAAATAAAGTTCGTTGATCCCTTTCATTGAGCAACACTTAAAGAGAAAAAAAAAATTATCTTAGAAAAAAAGACAGAACATATGCCTCCCAATTTGAACCTGTCTTTTCAATTTCATGAACCATAAGAGACTATTTTGAAAGAATATTCAAATTTCTTTCAGGTAATATTGACATTGGTCTCATTTTGAATTAGAATTTCTTTTATCAAAGACCTCTGTGTCACACAGAATTCAATGCGTTAACTTTGGAAGTATATGACCACCACTCCCCAGACCTTTTAACTATGGAAGAACCCATTCCAAACATTCTCACTAAATTGAAAATCCAAATTTCAAACAAAGACACATGACTGTGTTTTATACACAAACATAAATATGAACTTCCTGAATGGTCAAAAAAATTTTCAGCATAGTCAGATATCTGGAAAAAAATACATTTTTATATATATATATATATATATATATATATATATACACACACTTACTTATTAGATCTTCTTTTTCAAGTGGACTAGGTAAAGCATTCACAATAGTTTGTTTATCCTTTTTAGTGGATTCTTTTGAGACCACCTTGCCTTCTTCCTTGATCAGAGGCACTCCGGCACCTTCCTTGGTCAGAGGCATTTCGGCGCCTTCCTTGTTCAGAGGCAGTTCGGCGCCTTCCTTGGTCAGAGGCATTTCGGCACCTTCCATCGTCAGAGGCATTTCGGCACCTTCCTTGGTCAGAGGCACTTCGGCGCCTTCCTTGGTCAGAGGCACTTCGGCGCCTTCCTTGGTCAGATGCATTTCGGCACCTTCCTTGGTCAGAGGCATTTCGGCACCTTCCTTGGTCAGAGGCACTTCGCTACCTTCCTTGGGCAGAGGCATTTCGGCGCCTTCCCTGGTCAGAGATACTTCGGCGCCTTTCTTAGTCAGAGGCATTTCGACGCCTTCCTTGTTCAGAGGCACTTCCGCGCCTTCCTTGGTCAGAGGCATTTCGGCACCTTCCATGGTCTGAGGCACTTCAGCACCTTCCTTGGTCAAAGGCGCTTCAGCCCCTTCCTTGGTCAGAGGCATTTCGACGCCTTCCTTGGTCAGAGGCATTTCGGCAACTTCCTTGGTCAGAGGCATTTCGGCGCCTTCCTTGGTCAGAGACATTTCGGCTCCTTCCTTGGTTAGAGGCACTTCTGCGCCTTCTTTGGTCAGAGGCATTTCGGCGCCTTCCTTGGTCAGAGGCATTTCGGCCCCTTCCATGGTCTGAGGCACTTCAGCACCTTCCTTGGTCAGAGGCGCTTCGGCCCCTTCCTTGGTTAGAGGCATTTCGGCACCTTCCTTGGTCAGAGGCATTTCGGCACCTTCCATGGTCTGAGGCACTTCCACACCTTCCTTGGTCAGAGGTGCTTCGGCCCCTTCCTTGGTCAGAGGCATTTTGGCACCTTCCTTGGTCAGAGGCATTTCGGCACCTTCTTTGGTCAGAGGCACTTCAGTGCCTTCCTTGGTCAGAGGCATTTCCGCACCTTCCTTGGTCAGAGGCATTTCGAAGCCTTCCTTTGTCAGAGGTATTTCGGCACCTTCATTGGTCAGACGCATTTCGGCACCTTCCTTGTACAGAGGCATTTCGGCACCTTCCTTAGTCAGAGGCACTTCAGCGCCTTCCTTGGTCAGAGGCATTTCGGCACCTTCCATGGTCATAGGCATTTTGGCGCCTTCCTTGGTCTGAGGCATTTCGGCCCCTTCCTTGGTCTGAGGCATTTCGGCACCTTCCTTGGTCAGAGGAACTTCCGTGCCTTCCTTGGTCAGAGGCATTTCGGCGCCATCCTTGGTCAGACACATTTCGGCGCCTTCCTTGGTCAGAGGCATTTCGGCACCTTCCTTGGTCAGAAGCACTTCTGCGCCTTCCTTGGTCAGAGGCATTTCGGCGCCTTCCTTGGTCAGAGGCATTTCAGTGCCTTCCATGGTCAGAGGCATTTCAGCGCCTTCCTTGGTCAGAGGCATTTCGGCATCTTTTTTGGTCAGAGGCATTTCGGCACCTTCCTTGGTCAGAGGCATTTCGGCACCTTCCTTGGTCAGAGGCATTTCGGCACCTTCCCTAGTCAGAGGCACTTCAGCGCCTTCCTTGGTCAGAGGCATTTCGGCACCTTCCATGGTCATAGGCATTTTGGCGCCTTCCTTGGTCAGAGGCATTTCGGCACCTTCCTTGGTCAGAGGCATTTCGGCACCTTCCTTGGTCAGAGGCATTTCGGCACCTTCCTTAGTCAGAGGCACTTCAGCGCCTTCCTTGGTCAGAGGCATTTCGGCACCTACAATGGTCATAGGCATTTTTGCGCCTTCCTTGGTCTGAGGCATTTCGCCGCCTTCCTTGGTCTGAGGCATTTCGGCACCTTCCTTGGTCAGAGGAACTTCCGTGCCTTCCTTGGTGAGAGGCATTTCGGCGCCTTCCTTGGTCAGAGGCATTTCGGCACCTTCCTTGGTCAGAAGCACTTCTGCGCCTTCCTTGGTCAGAGGCATTTCGGCGCCTTCCTTGGTCAGAGGCGCATCAGCCCCTTCCTTGGTCAGAGACATTTCAGCGCCTTCCTTGGTCAGAGGCATTTCGGCACCTTCCTTGGTCAGAGGCATTTCGGCATCGTCCTTGGTCAGAGGCACTTCCGTGCCTTCCTTGGTCAGAGGCATTTCGGCGCCTTCCTTGGTCAGAGGAATTTCGTCGCCTTCCTTGGTCAGAGGCATTTCGGCCCCTTCCTTGGTCAGAGGCACTTCGGCGCCTTCCTTGGTCAGAGGCGCTTTGGTGCCTTCCTTGGTCAGAGGCTTTTCGGCACCTTCCATGGTCTGAGGCACTTCTGCACCTTCCTTGGTTAGAGGCGCTTCTGCCCCTTCCTTGGTCAGAGGCATTTCGGCACCTTCCATGGTCTGAGACACTTCTGCACCTTCCTTGGTTAGAGGCACTTCAGCGCCTTCCTTGGTCAGAGGCATTTCCGCACCTTCCTTGGTCAGAGGCATTTCGAAGCCTTCCTTTGTCAGAGGTATTTCGGCACCTTCCTTGGTCAGACGCATTTCGGCACCTTCCTTGGTCAGACGCATTTCGGCACCTTCCTTGGTCAGAGGCATTTCGGCACCTTTCTTGGTCAGAGGCACTTCAGCGCCTTCCGTGGTCAGAGGCATTTCGTCGCCTTCCTTGGTCAGAGGCATTTCGGCCCCTTCCTTGGTCAGAGGCACTTCGGCGCCTTCCTTGGTCAGAGGCGCTTTGGTGCCTTCCTTGGTCAGAGCTTTTCGGCACCTTCCATGGTCTGAGGCACTTCTGCACCTTCCTTGGTTAGAGGCGCTTCTGCCCTTCCTTGGTCAGAGGCATTTCGGCACCTTCCATGGTCTGAGACACTTCTGCACCTTCCTTGGTTAGAGGCACTTCAGCGCCTTCCTTGGTCAGAGGCATTTTCCGCACCTTCCTTGGTCAGAGGCATTTCGAAGCCTTCCTTTGTCAGAGGTATTTCAGCACCTTCCTTGGTCAGACGCATTTCGGCACCTTCCTTGGTCAGACGCATTTCGGCACCTTCCTTGGTCAGAGGCATTTCGGCACCTTCCTTGGTCAGAGGCACTTCAGCGCCTTCCGTGGTTAGAGGCATTTCGGCACCTTCCTTGGTCAGAGGCACTTCGGCGCCTTCCTTGGTCAGAGGCATTTCGGCACCTTCCTTGGTCAGAGGCGCTTCGGCGCCTTCCTTGGTCAGAGGCATTTCGGCACCGTCCATGGTCTGAGGCACTTCTGCACCTTCCTTGGTTAGAGGCGCTTCGGCCCCTTCCTTGGTCAGAGGCATTTCGGCACCTTCCATGGTCTGAGGCACTTCTGCACCTTCCTTGGTTAGAGGCACTTCAGCGCCTTCCTTGGTCAGAGGCATTTCCGCACCTTCCTTGGTCAGAGGCATTTCGAAGCCTTCCTTTGTCAGAGGTATTTCGGCACCTTTATTGGTCAGACGCATTTCGGCACCTTCCTTGGTCAGAGGCATTTCGGCACCTTCCTTAGTCAGAGGCACTTCAGCGCCTTCCTTGGTCAGAGGCATTTCGGCACCTTCCATGGTCATAGGCATTTTGGCGCCTTCCTTGGTCTGAGGCATTTCGGCACCTTCCTTGGTCAGAGGAACTTCCGTGCCTTCCTTGGTCAGAGGCATTTCGGCGCCTTCCTTGGTCAGAGGCATTTCGGCACCTTCCTTGGTCAGAAGCACTTCTGCGCCTTCCTTGGTCAGAGGCATTTCGGCGACTTCCTTGGTCAGAGGCGCATCAACCCCTTCCTTGGTCAGAGACATTTCAGCGCCTTCCTTGGTCAGAGGCATTTCGGCATCTTTTTTGGTCAGAGGCATTTCGGCACCTTCCTTGGTCAGAGGCATTTCGGCATCGTCCTTGGTCAGAGGCATTTCGGCATCGTCCTTGGTCAGAGGCATTTCGGCGCCTTCCTTGGTCAGAGGCACTTCCGTGCCTTCCTTGGTCAGAGGCATTTCGGCGCATTCCTTGGTCAGAGGAATTTCGTCGCCTTCCTTGGTCAGAGGCATTTCGGCACCTTCCTTGGTCAGAGGCACTTCGGCGCCTTCCTTGGTCAGAGGCGCTTCGGCGCCTTCCTTGGTCAGAGGCTTTTCGGCACCTTCCATGGTCTGAGGCACTTCTGCACCTTCCTTGGTTAGAGGCGCTTCGGCCCCTTTCTTGGTCAGAGGCATTTCGGCACCTTCCATGGTCTGAGGCACTTCAGCGCCTTCCTTGGTCAGAGGCATTTCGGCACCTTCCTTGGTCAGACGCATTTCGGCACCTTCCTTGGTCAGACGCATTTCGGCACCTTCCTTGGTCAGAGGAACCTCCGTGCCTTCCTTGGTCAGAGGCATTTCGGCTCCTTCCTTGGTCAGAGGCATTTCGGCGCCAGCCTTGGTCAGAGACATTTCGGCGCCTTCCTTGGTCAGAGGCATTTCGGCACCTTCCATGGTCAGAGGCATTTCGGCACCTTCCATGGTCAGAAGCACTTCAGTGCCTTCCTTGGTCAGAGGCGCTTCACCCCCTTCCTTGGTCAGAGGCATTTCAGTGCCTTCCATGGTTAGAGGCATTTCAGCGCCTTCCTTGGTCAGAGGCATTTCGGCACCTTCTTTGGTCAAAGGCATTTCGGCGACTTCCTTGGTCAGAGCCATTTCGGCATCGTCCTTGGACAGAGGCATTTCGGCATCATCCTTGGTCAGAGGCACATCCGTGCCTTCCTTGGTCAGAGGCATTTCGGCGCCTTCCTTGGTCAGAGGCATTTCGGCGCCTTCCTTGGTCAGAGGCATTTCGGCACCTTCCTTGGTCAGAGGCACTTCGGCGCCTTCCTTGGTCAGAGGCATTTCGGCACCTTCCATGGTCTGAGGCACTTCTGCACCTTCCTTGGTTAGAGGCGCTTCGGCCCTTTCCTTGGTCAGAGGCATTTCGGCCCCTTCCATGGTCTGAGGCACTTCTGCACCTTCCTTGGTTAGAGGCGCTTCGGCCCTTTCCTTGGTCAGAGGCATTTCGGCACCTTCCATGGTCTGAGGCACTTCTGCACCTTCCTTGGTTAGAGGCGCTTCGGCCCCTTCCTTGGTCAGAGGCATTTCGGCACCTTCCTTGGTCAGAGGCATTTCGGCACCTTCCATGGTCTGAGGCACTTCCGCACCTTCCTTGGTCAGAGGCACTTCCGCACCTTCCTTGGTCAGAGGCACTTCGGCCCCTTCCTTGGTCAGAGGAATTTCGGCACCTTCTTTGGTCAGAGGCATTTCGATGCCTTTCTTGTTCAGAGGCATTTCGGCACCTTCCTTGGTCAGAGGCATTTCCGCGCCTTCTTTGGTCAGAGGCACTTCAGCGCCTTCCTTGGTCAGAGGCATTTCGGCACCTTCCTTTGTCAGAGGCATTTCGCACCTTCCTTTGTCAGAGGCATTTTGGCACCTTCATTGGTCAGAGGCATTTCGGCACCTTCCTTGGTCAGAGGCACTTCAGCGCCTTCCTTGGTCAGAGGCATTTCGGCACCTTCCATGGTCATAGGCTTTTCGGCACCTTCCATGGTCTGAGGCATTTTGCACCTTCCTTGGTTAGAGGCGCTTCTGCCCTTCCTTGGTCAGAGGCATTTTTGGCACCTTCCATGGTCTGAGACACTTCTGCACCTTCCTTGGTTAGAGGCACTTCAAGTGCCTTCCTTGGTCAGAGCAGGCACCTTTTGGTCAGAGGCCTTCCTTCCTTTGTCAGAGGTATTTGGCACCTTCCTTGGTGGCATTTCTTGGTCAGAGCATTTCGGCACCTTCCTTGGTCAGAGGCATTCGGCACCTTCTTGGTCAGAGGCACTTCAGCGCCTTCCGTGGTTAGAGGCATTTCGGCACCTTCCTTGGTCAGAGGCATTCGGGGCCTTCCTTGGTTCGGCACCTTCCTTGGTCAGAGCATTTCGGCACCTTCCTTGGTCAGAGGCATTTTTCCATGGTCTGAGGCACTTCTGCACCTTCCTTGGTTAGAGCATTTCGATCGCCCCCTTTCTTGGTCAGAGCATTTCGGCACCTTCCATGGTGGCACCTTCCAGAGGCATTTTCCTTGGTCAGAGGCATTTCCGCACCTTCCTTGGTCAGAGGCATTTCAAGCCTTCCTTTGTCAGAGGTATTTCGCACCTTTATTGGTCAGACGCATTTCGGCACCTTCCTTGGTCAGAGGCATTTCGGCACCTTCCTTAGTCAGAGGCACCTTCCTTGGTCAGAGGCATTTCGCACCTTCCATGGTCATAGGCATTTTGGCGCCTTCCTTGGTCTGAGGCATTTCGGCACCTTCCTTGGTCAGAGGAACTTCCGTGCCTTCCTTGGTCAGAGGCATTTCGGCGCCTTCCTTGGTCAGAGGCATTTCGGCACCTTCCTTGGTCAGAAGCACTTTGCGCCTTCCTTGGTCAGAGGCATTTCTGACTTCCTTGGTCAGAGGCACTTCAACCCCTTCCTTGGTCAGAGACATTTCAGCGCCTTCCTTGGTCAGAGGCATTTCGCATCCTTTTTTGGTCAGAGGCATTTCGGCACCTTCCTTGGTCAGAGGCATTTCGGCATCGTCCTTGGTCAGGAGGCATTTCGGCATCATCCTTGGTCAGAGGCATTTGGGCCTTCCTTGGTCAGAGGCACTTCCGTGCCTTCCTTGGTCAGAGGCATTTCCTTGGTCAGAGGAATTTGTCGCCTTCCTTGGTCAGAGGCATTTGCACCTTCCTTGGTCAGAGGCATTTGGCGCCTTCCTTGGTCAGAGGCATTTGCCGCGCCTTCCTTGGTCAGAGGCTTTTCGGCACCTTCCATGGTCTGAGGCATTCTGCACCTTCCTTGGTTAGAGGCGCTTCGGCCCCTTTCTTGGTCAGAGGCATTTCGGCACCTTCCATGGTCTGAGGCACTTCAGCGCCTTCCTTGGTCAGAGGCATTTCGGCACCTTCCTTGGTCAGACATTTCGCACCTTCCTTGGTCAGAGGCACCTTCCTTGGTCAGAGGAACCCCGGCCTTCCTTGGTCAGAGGCATTTCGGCCCTTCCTTGGTCAGAGGCATTGGCGCCAGCCTTGGTCAGAGACATTTTGGCACCTTCCTTGGTCAGAGGCATTTTGGCACCTTCCATGGTCAGAGGCATTTCGGCACCTTCCATGGTCAGAAGCACTTCAGTGCCTTCCTTGGTCAGAGGCGCTTCACCCCCTTCCTTGGTCAGAGGCATTTCAGTGCCTTCCATGGTTAGAGGCATTTCAGCGCCTTCCTTGGTCAGAGGCATTTCGGCACCTTCTTTGGTCAAAGGCATTTCAAGCGACTTCCTTGGTCAGAGCCATTTCTGGCATCGTCCTTGGACAGAGGCATTTCGGCATCATCTTGGTCAGAGGCACATCCGTGCCTTCCTTGGTCAGAGGCATTTCGGCGCCTTCCTTGGTCAGAGGGCGCCTTCCTTGGTCAGAGGCATTTCGGCACCTTCCTTGGTCAGAGGCGCCTGGCGCCTTCCTTGGTCAGAGGCATTTGGGCACCTTCCATGGTCTGAGGCACTTCTGCACCTTCCTTGGTTAGAGGCGCTTCGGCCCTTTCCTTGGTCAGAGGCATTTCTGGCCCTTCCATGGTCTGAGGCACTTCTGCACCTTCCTTGGTTAGAGGCGCTTGGCCCTTTCCTTGGTCAGAGGCATTTCGGCACCTTCCATGGTCTGAGGCACTTTGCACCTTCCTTGGTTTCGGCCCCTTCCTTGGTCAGAGGCATTTCGGCACCTTCCTTGGTCAGAGGCATTTCGGCACCTTCCATGGTCTGAGGCACTTCCGCACCTTCCTTGGTCAGAGGCACTTCCGCACCTTCCTTGGTCAGAGGCACTTGGCCCCTTCCTTGGTCAGAGGAATTTTGGCACCCTTTGGTCAGAGGCATTTGATGCCTTTCTTGTTCAGAGGCATTTTCGCACCTTCCTTGGTCAGAGGCATTCCGCGCCTTCTTTGGTCAGAGGCACTTCAGCGCCTTCCTTGGTCAGAGGCATTTCGGCACCTTCCTTTGTCAGAGGCATTTCGGCACCTTCCTTTGTCAGAGGCATTTCGGCACCTTCATTGGTCAGAGGCATTTCGGCACCTTCATTGGTCAGAGGCATTTCGGCACCTTCCTTGGTCAGAGGCACTTCAGCGCCTTCCTTGGTCAGAGGCATTTCGGCACCTTCCATGGTCATAGGCATTTTGGCGCCTTCCTTGGTCTGAGGCATTTCGGCACCTTCTTTGGTCAGAGGCATTTCGGCACCTTCCTTAGTCAGAGGCACTTCGGCGCCTTCCTTGGTCAGAGGCATTTCGGCACCTTCCTTGGTCAGAGGAACTTCCGTGCCTTCCTTGGTCAGAGGCATTTCGGTGCATTCCTTGGTCAGAGGCATTTCGGCATCGTCCTTGGACAGAGGCATTTCGGCATCATCCTTGGTCAGAGGCACTTCCGTGCTTTCCTTGGTCAGAGGCATTTCGGCGCCTTCCTTGGTCAGAGGCATTTCTTCGCCGTCCTTGGTCAGAGGCATTTCGGCACCTTCCATGGTCTGAGGCACTTCTGCACCTTCCTTGGTTAGAGGCGCTTGGCCCCTTCCTTGGTCAGAGGCATTTTGGCACCTTCCTTGTTCAGAGGCATTTCGGCACCTTCCATGGTCTGAGGCACTTCCAAGACCTTCCTTGGTCAGAGGCGCCGCCCTTCCTTGGTCAGAGGCATTTCTGGCACCTTCCTTGGTCAGAGGAATTTCGGCACCTTCCATGGTCAGAGGCATTTCGGCACCTTCTTTGGTCAGAGGCATTTCGACGCGTTCCTTGGTCAGAGGCATTTCAACGCGTTCCTTGGTCAGAGGCATTTCGATGCCTTTCTTGTTCAGAGGCATTTCGGCACCTTCCTTGGTCAGAGGCACTTCCGCGCCTTCTTTGGTCAGAGGCACTTCAGCGCCTTCCTTGGTCAGAGGCATTTCAGCACCTTCCTTGGTCAGAGGCATTTCGAAGCCTTCCTTTGTCAGAGGCATTTCGGCACCTTCATTGGTCAGATGCATTTCGGCACCTTCCTTGGTCAGAGGCATTTCGGCACCTTCCTTGGTCAGAGGCACTTCAGCGCCTTCCTTGGTCAGAGCCATTTTGGCGCCTTCCTTGGTCTGAGGCATTTCGGCACCTTCTTTGGTTAGAGGCATTTCGGCACCTTCCTTAGTCAGAGGCACTTCGGCGCCTTCCTTGGTCACAGGCATTTCGGCGCCTTCCTTGGTCAGAGGCATTTCGGCACCTTCCATGGTCAGAAGCACTTCAGTGCCTTCCATGGTCAGAGGCATTTCAGCGCCTTCCTTGGTCAGAGGCATTTCGGCATCTTTTTTGGTCAGAGGCATTTCGGCACCTTCCTTGGTCAGAGGCATTTTGGCACCTTCTTTGGTCAGAGGCATTTCGGCGACTTCCTTGGTCAGAGGCATTTCGGCATCGTCCTTGGTCAGAGGCATTTCGGCATCATCCTTGGTCAGAGGCATTTCAGGGCCTTCCTTGGTCAGAGGCAGGCCTGCCCCTTCCTTGGTCAGAGGCATTTCAGTGCCCTTGGTCAGAGGCATTTGTCGCCTTCCTTGGTCAGAGGCATTTCGGCACCTTCCTTAGTCAGAGGCACTTTCGCGCCTTCCTTGGTCAGAGGCATTTGGCACCTTCCATGGTCTGAGGCACTTCTGCACCTTCCTTGGTTAGAGGCGCCTGCCCCTTCCTTGGTCAGAGGCATTTCGCACCTTCCATGGTCTGAGGCACTTCTGCACCTTCCTTGGGGAGGCGCCTGCCCCTTCCTTGGTCAAAGGCATTTAAACCTTCCTTGGTCAGAGGGCATTTCTTTCCTTGGTCAGAGGCATTTCGGCACCTTCCTTGGTCAGAGGACTTCCTTGGTCAGAGGCATTTCAGCACCTTCCCTTGGTCAGAGGCATTTCTGGATTTTTCTTTGGTCAGGAGGCACCTTCCTTGGTCAGAGGCATTCCGGCGCCTTCCTTGGTCAGAGGCATTTCGGCCTTCCTTGGTTAGAGGCACTTGCGCCTTCCTTGGTCAGGAGGCATTTCGGCGCCTTCCTTTTTCAGAGGCACTCTGGCCCCCCTTCCTTGGTCAGAGGCATGCACCTTCCATGGTCAGAAGCTTTCTTTGGTCAGAGGAAGGCATTTCAGAGGCATTTCGCACCTTCTTTGGTCAGAGGCATTTTGACGCCTTCCTTCGTCAGAGGCATTTGATGCCTTTCTTGTTCAGAGGCATTTTGGCACCTTCCTTGGTCAGAGGCACTTCCGGCTTTTTGGTCAGAGGCACTTTCAGCGCCTTCCTTGGTCAGAGGCACTTCAGCGCCTTCCTTGGTCAGAAGCATTTCCATGCCTTCCTTGGTCAGAGGCATTTCAGCACCTTCCTTGGTCAGAGGGCATTGACTTTCTTTGGTCAGAGGCATTTCCTTGGTCAGAGGCATTTACTGCCTTCCTTGGTCAGAGGCATTTCGGCTCCTTCCTTGGTTAGAGGCACTTCTGCGCCTTCCTTGGTCAGAGGCATTTCGGCGCCTTCCTTTGTCAGAGGCACTTCAGCCCCTTCCTTGGTCAGAGGCATTTCGGCACCTTCCATGGTCAGAAGCACTTCAGCCCCTTCCTTGGTCAGAGGAATTTCGGCACCTTCCATGGTCAGAGGCATTTCGGCACCTTCTTTGGTCAGAGGCATTTCGACGCCTTCCTTGGTCAGAGGCATTTCGATGCCTTCCTTGGTCAGAGGCATTTCGATGCCTTTCTTGTTCAGAGGCATTTCGGCACCTTCCTTGGTCAGAGGCACTTCCGCGCTTTTCTTGGTCAGAGGCACTTCAGCGCCTTCCTTGGTCAGAGGCACTTCAGCGCCTTCCTTGGTCAGAAGCACTTCAGCCCCTTCCTTGGTCAGAGGAATTTCGGCACCTTCCATGGTCAGAGGCATTTCGGCACCTTCTTTGGTCAGAGGCATTTCGACGCCTTCCTTGGTCAGAGGCATTTCGATGCCTTCCTTGGTCAGAGGCATTTCGGCGCCTTCCTTGGTCAGAGGCATTTCAGCATCTTTAGTTTCTTCCAGAGCTTTAGATTCTTTTTTAGAAGCAGGGGTTTCAGATGTGGCAGCTGACGTTCCCTTGCTTTTCTTTGCAGCTGCAGAGAAGAAGAAAATAATTGATAAGTCAGCTATATAATAGACAATCATTAGAAAATTATTTTCTTCTCAGTTTAACAGCCAAAAACAACAAAATACAGTTTTCTCTCTATCCCTATATATATATATATGTGTGTGTGTGTGTGTATATATATGTATGTAGAGAGAGAGAGAGAATAAAAAGGAGCATTAACCACAACAGTGAATAAACGCTGATACAAAATGGCCAGCATTAAATAAATCCGACTTAAATTCATCGATATACATGCTAGAAGTTGATTCCTGACAGATTGTGGGCCACCCTCAGGATTCACAACTCTTAAATTTTAGGGATGTCCTTGTTGTAGTCTTAAATCGTTCATAAGATCTTCAAGTGACTTGCAAATGATTCTGCATCGGATAATGGAGATTCCTGACAGCAACCAGATTATCTAAATGTTTACTTTTATGAAGCCAAAGGAGTCCAATGGCTGACCATCATATTTTATTACAAAGGTTACCTGAAAAGTTCTGTTAGGTATCATAATGGTAGATGGGGATGTTTCCGTATATACGTTTATGGCCTATCTTCAAAAAGCAGATATGGCCACATTCATCACACGATATCTACCAGCTAGTTTCAGGGCAGAATTTTGCTGCTCTCAAACCCAACAACCAATCAGATTTATACAGAAACTTGATTGGGGATGTGACAAGAAAGTCTGCATTCTGACCATGAAACTGGGGTTCAAATCTCACTATGGTTAACATTTAGCACTCTGCATTAATAATATTTCTTCCCTTTTGACGACATTCTTTTTACAAAGCCTCTCAATTGCAGCATCCTTATTGTCAATTTCACTCAAAGTTGTTTTCGGCTGCCATAGCAGGATATGACAACACAACTATGACATTCAAACCCTATTGTTTAGGGATGGCAGGATAGATGTTTGGTACAGCAAATGAAGTCACATACAGCATGATGAAGGTTAATTTGACCAGGGTAGCAGTGGGGCTTTCATGATGACGATGATAATGGCCTCAAGAGACGATCTTGGCATGTGGTACTATTTGGAAGTGCTTGAAAAGCACAACACAGTTCGACCAAAGCCTGAGTATGAAATTGGGTAACCAGAACTGTTCAGAATCTAATGACTGAGCCAGCACGAAGTCATTGTGTCCGAGGACTTGTGTATACTGGCATTGTTCAATCTGATGATCCTGCCATCTTGCCTAGAAACTGTAAATAAAGTCTGGTCGAGAACATTCGTGTTCCTTCAACATCTGTAAAGCCAACCTGTGATTTATAACAGGTGATTCTCAACAGGAGTCCTTAGGCCCACAAATGGACAAGAGTAATTTTGAAAATGGGACGAGTGTTGATCCAAGGAAAGGTGGGCTTTGAAACCATCCCCTCCCTTGGCTGTCACAAAATTATGAGAATGCAAACTGATTTATTTTTAAAGGCAAATAAGCCTTAATTAATGAAGTGGTTTATTAAAAAAAAAACCAGAAGCTGAATTTGAGGATTGGTGAAAGTTTAACTTGACAAGACGAGATAGACACTAAGAGCAGTGTAGTCCTTAGTCAGGATTTATAAAGGGTGTCGATTATGTTGACCGAAAAAAGTTAGCAAAGTGCGTGAAATGTATTTCTGTTTGAACATCCATTTTCATAACTGGCTTCGATAACTTTAACACATTGTTTGATTGTTAATCTTTTTATGGTTAAGTTGTTAAATCTGAAAGAAAAAAAAATCATTAGAAGCTTAAACTTAATTCACATTTAAAATCGGTCAACTTTATTTTCTTCTACATTTTGCTTTTGCAAATAAAATGCATTTCCTGTTACATGTAATTTCTATTGATGCATATGTAGGCTTGAAATGTTTTGACACCAAAAATGGGCAACAACTATGATGAGCAGATCTTAGTCACAGTTGGATGTTTTAAATGTTTCCATTAATTGCCAGAAATGGTGTTGATTCTAGATGCCCCTTCCTCTAATCTTATATTTAAGAGCTATGATGTGACACTGAGGTCATGAAGTAGTTAATGGAGTGTCACACCTTTACGAATTGGAACGATGCACCAAGAATTTATTTTTTAATCTATAGAGAATCTGGCATGCGAGTGAAACAAATTTGGGAATAAATTTCATCTCTTCCTTGAGAATTTAAGAAAACAAATATTTTTAATGAGGTGTGGGAAGGTCTGGAGTATATTTTCATGGATGAAAATAAATTGGGAAATAATTTTATCTCTCACTCAGAAGGTTAAATGAGAACACGTTTTCCTTACAGATTGGATATACAATTAATGCAGGAGTTATGAAAACAAGTGGCGGGCAAGAAAAGTGATCTGGTTTATATTTTCACTGGACAAAGATAATTCCAGGGAAATAGAAAGGAATTTGAGAATTAAAAATCAATGACTAGAATAAATTCTGCCCATTCACCTACATGCTTTAGAAATTAGATTTTTCACAAATACAGTTATGCCTGCACTGGAAGGTAGGCTTAGGTTGAATGCTAAGAGAGTAGGAGGAAGGAGAATTCAGCATCACCTGTATGGAGTTATAGCACAAGATGTAAAGTGAAGCAAGTTGGAGTTGACGGGAGGAGTGATCCTGTGCTTACTCCCAAGAAAGTGAAGAATTCCTCAGATTTGGAAAGTTGCTTAAGAAAGCAGAAATAAGGGACAAAGAACCCATGTTGGAATTAATGTAAAAATTGCGGAGTCACCAAACACCCAGGGCCTGTCGACCACATGATGGTTTGGGGCTGAAATGCATATAAGCAGATAGCTTTGAGAGTAAGCAGAGTAAAGAGAAGAAATTGCTTGTCATAATGAAGGGCTCAGAAAAAGTGACAATTGAGAGAAAGAGGCCGAACCTAATAGAAGAGAGTTGTATCTAAAGTATTAGTTCTTTGTACCAACACCTGGATAATATGGGCTGGTTTAATGGATCTGCAACTATGAGAGCCATGGAGCAAGCAAATGGCCATCGAACCTGGTATTTTCAAGCAGCTAATGTTAATAGCTGCACAGTGGAGTAATGGATAGTGGCTCGGATTGAGGAATTGGAGAGTCGAGTTCGAATTCCACTTGAATCCATTACATTCACTTAAGTGCTAATATCCTTGAGAAAGGTATGAATCCTCTTCTCCACCCAGCTATGGGTAAATAGCAGGACAGACTGGGTTCTATAGTCTAGGATGGCAAATGGTTTACCACAGAAAGAAAAAGTCTGCCTTGTCAGTCATATATCAAAAGATACATGATTGTCTAAGCGTGTATCATGCATGGCACATAACTGACTGAATGTTAATAGTGATGAGCGAGATGGAAGGAATTGCCATAGCCTATTTAAACGACATCTTGGTGTTTTCCAAAATACCTGATAAGCATTTTGACCATATCAAACAGGTGCTGGATTGGTTAAGGAGATACAGGCCTAA